GGGGGGGGTGGGCAGCACGTAGCAGGAAGGGGCCGTGCGAGGGCTCGCCCAGGGGAACCGCATGCAAAGGGGAAGGAAACGCTTGCGCAAGAGGGCGAGCGGGGAGCTGACGGCTTTCCCCCTCCCCAGGAACAAGTCGGGGATCTGGGGCTGGCGCTCGGAGAAGATGGAGGTGGTCAGCGGCTACGAGGCCAAAGTAGGCACGGCGGGGCTGGGGGGACGACGACACTGGGGGGACCCTCCGGTGCCCGGCGGGGCTGATCCTGTCCCCCGGCAGGTGTACAGCGCCAGCAACGTGGAGCTGGTCACCAAGACAAGGACGGAGCACCTCTCCGACCAGGACAAGTCACGCAGCAAAGGTGACAGCCCCGTCGGCCAATCAGGGAGCCTGCCCACAGCAGGGACACGCCTCCCTCCTGGTGCAAGGCCCGCCCCCTAGTGCAAGGCCCACCCCTTTCCTGGGTGGGACATGTGTCAGGTGTCGGGTGCTGGGTGGAACAGCACGTGGGTCGTCACCCGTCAGGCGTGGGACACCGCGGGTGTGGGGTGCGACACGTCAGGCGTGGGACAGTGCGTGTGCAAGGTGTGACCCGTGACAGCCCGGGCAGACACGGGGGTGCCGTGCCCCCTGCCCACGTCGCACCCCTGCACCTCCCCTCTCTCCTCGGCCAGGCTCCAAGACCCCCTTCCACTCCTTCCTGGGCATCGCGCAGCAGCACGGCACCCACAACGGGGTGAGTGGCCGGGGGGGGGGGGTCCCCCCCCCCCGGGGAGGGGGGTGAGGGACCCCGGGGGCAGGGCTGAGCGGTGCCGGTGTCACCGCAGGCGCCCGTGCTGCAGGCTGCCAGCCCCACCAACCCCACCGCCATCACCCCCGAGGAATACTTTGACCCCCACTTCGACCTGGAGACCCGCAACATCGGGCGCCCCATCGAGATGTCCAGCAAGGTGCAGAGGTGAGGCCACCACCCCGGGGTGACACGGTTCCAGGGACGCGGCACCGGGATGGCAAGGAACCAATGCAGGGCAGTGACACGGCACTGGGGCGGCAAGACTCCTGGGGGTGGTGACATGGTCCCCTGGGATGTGGCACCAGGGTGGCAGGGCACCTGGGGCGGTGATGGAGTCCCAGGGGACGTGGCACTGGGTGTCAGGACCCACGCGGGTGGTGACGGGGTCCCAGGGGACGTGGCACTGGGTGTCAGGACCCACAGGGGTGTTAATGGGGTCCCAGGGGACGTGGCACTGGGTGTCAGGACCCACGCGGGTGGTGACAGTGTCCCAGGGGACGTGGCACTGGGTGTCAGGACCCACAGGGGTGTTAACGGGATCCCAGGGGACGTGGCACTGGGTGTCAGGACCCACGGGGGTGGTGACAGGGTCCCAGGGGACGTGGCACTGGCGGGGTTCCCGTGCCCACGCCGGTGCCCGGGCAGGTTCAAGGCGACGCTGTGGCTGTGCGAGCAGCACCCGCTGTCGCTGGCGGAGCAGGTGACGCCCATCATCGACCTCATGGCCATCTCCAACGCCCACTTCGCCAAACTGCGTGACTTCATCACCCTCAAGCTGCCCCCCGGCTTCCCCGTCAAGATTGGTGAGGGTGGGGCCAGCAGGGTGGGGCAAGGGTGGGGCCTATCCCAGGGCGGGGCCACTGACCCCTGTACCCCCAGAGATCCCCCTCTTCCACGTGCTCAACGCCCGCATCACCTTCAGCAACCTCTGCGGGTGCGACCAGCCGCTGGGCTCCGTGCGGGTGTGCGCCCCCACCCAGCCCCCCAGCACCCACCCCCCCGGCACCCACCCCCCCGGCCCCAGAGGTGAGGCTGGGAGAGATGGGGGGGGTCCCTGGGGGGGGGGTACATGTGGCTGAGGGGGGGCTGTGGG